TCCTTATCAGAAGGGAGTGGGTCTTATTTAGGGTGAGTCAGACTAATAGTCTAGCCACTATAGATGGCTGATGTTAAGGAGAATAACCTCTGATCTACTTTCGCTGATCACCTATTGTACAGTCACTCTTAAGCAACTAAGTCTGGTACATATTTTTGGGAGACAACTTAAGAGAAATCCTTCTGTTCCCCACAGAGACCCAAAGCCCATCTGTAGGCAACTGGACATCCCCTTAAAGAAGGGTTGCAGGGAGGAGAGGAGCCAGTCAGGGTGCAGTATAGCACCGATGAGACATACAACTTTTTCTAGTTCTCTAATGCTTCCTCCCCGCCTCACTATCATGAGCTCAATTCTACCTTACAAATCCAGCTAGTCCAGAGGAAGTACACTAGTACAGATAAGAGCTGGAAATACAGGAAATCCAGGACAGATAAACCCCTCAGGACCAATAATAAGAGTAATGATACCAGGAGGGTAAGGGGAATGTAGGGGTAGAAAGGGGAAACCGATCACAATGATCTACATGTAACCCCCTCCCAGAGGGAAGGACAACAGAAAAGTGGGTGAAGGGAGACGTCGGGCAGCGTAAGACATGAAAAAATTATGATAATGTATAAATTATCACGGGTTCATGAGGGAGGGAGGGTAGGGGGAAATGAGGAGCTGATACCAAGGGCTCAAGTAGAAAGAAAATGTTTTGAGAATGATGATGACAACAAACGTACAAATGTGCTTGACACAATGGATTGTGATGAGTTGTACGAGCCCCCAATAAAATGAATTTTTTTTAAAGGAAAAAATAAAAGAATCTGTACGTCATGACTAAAGTTGAAGCTAGGTCTGCTTTTTAAAAACGATTAGGCCTAATTTTGTCAGGCTTTAAAAAAAATATTTTCTCTTTGAATTTCAGATATAGTGGAAATGCTATTTACTCAGCCAAATATTGAACTGAACCAACAGGTGAGCCTGCTAACCCTGCCTTCATGTACCACACCTGTTTTGTCCTCCTCTTAACACAGCGCTGCTTAGGGACCTGTACAATTCTGCATTGATGTTTGGAACTGACCTGTTTGGAACCCCCTGTGTTATTTTTGATAAAACGTCTCATCAGGGGAGTTGGAGCGGAGACCCAAAGCCCCTCTATGGACAATGGAACATCCCCCCACAGAGGGGTTGCAGGGAGGGGCTAAGTCAATCAGGGTGCAGTAGAGCACTAATGGGTCACCTCTGTTTCCTGGAGCCTCCTCATCCCCGCTATCATGAGCTCAGTGCTGCCTCCCCATCTAGACTAGGGCGTCTCTGGTGGCTGAGGTGGTGAGGTGGTGACTGTTTTCAGGAACCAGTCAGTGCCAGTGTCTGCTTCCCTTCCTCCTCTCGTGAGTTTGCTGAGGTGTCTAGAGCGGTGTCCCCCAGTTCCCTGCCTAACGCACACGTATGTTGGTGTGCATCCAGTGGGGCAGGAGGGCAAGGCAAGGCAATGTGAGCGAGGTCTGACTGTTTAGTTTGTAGGTTTTTACTTAATCCTCTCTGTTTTGTGTTTCGGTTTTCCTCATTGCCCCCTTATACCTAGTGTTCATGAACTTGCAATCTCTCATGTTAAATCATTTTATTGGGGGCTCTTACAGCTCTTATAACGTTAAATCCATACATCAATGTATCAAGCACAATTGTACATATGTTGCCATCGTCATTTTCAGAACATTTTCTTTGTACTCAAGTTAATTTCTGACGGAGTCATTCTACCATATTTATTGGTTTACCAGTAAAATAGCATAAAATAAGGGGAGAGGAGGGTGATGTGGGGAGCTGATCACTTATGAACACTTTAAATCAGCACCCAGCACCCAGCACCCTCAGCCTTTACTGCCCTAGCAGCCCCAGGAGCCTTTAGTTCTGGAATCTTGCTCGTTCTCTGAGCACAGATCTGTGCTTCTCCTGGTGTCCTCCCGACAGGCACCTGATTTCAGCCTATGTCGTTGCTGTGGCATCCATTTTTTCCATTTTCCAGTAGTGACTCTGGGCACTTGACTCTCCCTCCTATGCTCCTTGGGATCTCATGTGGTTTTATAAATGTGCTCGTATGTTAGGTCTAACTGGATGAAACCTAAATTGATAGGTTGTTTTTCAACCCACTCCCTTCAGATGTTACTGCCTCTGTTTATTATCACAGAACAAGTTGGGGGACACTGCTTTGCATGCTGCTGCCTGGAAGGGATATGCAGACATTGTCCAGTTGCTTCTGGTGAAAGGTAAAGTTTGTGCTGAGCCTCTCTGGCCTTGGCTTAACCTAAAAGACGACATCCAGTGATAGCATTTCAGAGAGTAGGAGGAATAACAAATTCCTTATCTTTAACCTGGAATTTTAACCTCCAGTCTGTCAGTAAACGGTTGTTTACTAAGTAAGATGAAATGCTTGGGGGTGATTTTTATACGTTTTTAGTTATAAATTAAAAACGGGTAAGCTTTAAAATGACATATATAGCCTTAGTAAAGAGTTACTGTATATTTCTGCACAGTTAAATGTCTTCAGAAGGAAATAGTGGGTGCATATGTGTGACATCTCCTCTCTAATAAAGCAATTTGGGTAAAATTGCTAAGATAAGTCTTGATAGATATTAGGGAATGATGCAGCTCCAGTGTCCAGCTTTGATTTCAGTAGGTATATCAGGAATGAACGAGAATACCCAATATCTCTATTTTTACACCAAGTCATTGGGAAAGTGAAATGATGGGCCATCCACCCACCTACCCATCCATCCACCCATCCATCCATCCATCCATCCATCCATC